ACTGTACTCCAATTACTTGTTTAGCTGCCTAGCTCCTGCGGGGGTAATGGTATCTTATTCCGCTATGTAACCAACCCCAGCCCACACCCGGCACATCTCAGGCCCCTAATAACCGTTTTGTGAACAAATCCAACCCCCTCATTTCACTGATGAAGGAACTGGATGCAGCCAGAGAGAAGCCTGCAGAGCTAGCAGCCAGCCCACAATTAAAACCCCCACTTCCCACTCCCAGGGGGAACCAAGGCAGAACTCTACCCTCACAACCAGAGTAATCGGAGTGGAGAGAGCCTAGTGTGTTTACTGAGTGCCTACTATGTGCTAGGTGCCGCAGAGCTGGACACAGGGGCTGCTGGGAAAATGAGATAACAAGGTATAAGAAAGCCATGTGTGAAGCATATCACAGAAGAAAGCCAGCTGAGACCAGGCCTTTACTGCCCTTTGGCCCTTGGTGTCCCAGTGTTTTGTACAAACACTGAGACAGAAAAATACTCTCCTATGCAGAAAGGAAAGGGGAATTTATTCCTTACTGACTCACTACTACAACAAAATGGAAATGCAAGGAAATGTAAACTAGGCCCTTCCGGTGCCCAGTGGGAGGAGTCCAAAGAGAGGAGGAGGGTTCAGTGGAGTCAGGACACAGGTTCCCACCCAGGCTCAGTGTCTTAGATTCCTATGGCAAGGACAGAGACCATGAGCCCAATTCCTAGGGTCATCTCCACTGTGAAATGTACAAGGAGGAGACCCAAGGGGGCTAGAGAAAAGGAGCCCCAGAAATCAGGGGGTGGGGCAGCCAGGGTGAAGGGAGCTTTGGGCTCAGCAGACCCCAAAAGTGAGCAAGGGAGGCACCCAGGATGTGAAACAACTCGACAATAAGGATGGAAACCAAGGAGGAGCCTGGTTCTCGCATGCTTGCAAACAATGAAACCCAAGTGCCACACAAATAGTCACTGCCCTAGTCTAGGGACCAGTATATCCCTTTCCTCCTGCAGGGTGGCTCCACCTTCTCCTTACCAACTAGACTCAGCTCCTTCTCAGGACCCTTTTAACCTTACTGCCTCATGGCTTTACCATGGCGACAGATTCTTCAACTCTTTGCTTGGAGATCTTCTAGCCTGAGCCCCATATTACTTTGGTGACAAGACTCAGAGAGGAGAAGGGAGTGGCAAACAGAGATTTCCCATGTCCTACACTTCAGCCCTGGGTTTATGGCCACCTCGTGGCTGGGATAAAAAGTTCACAGGTTTTACCACCTTTCCCCAGGCTGAGAACTTTCCCTCTGGGATTGCTAGGCTGGTGGTCTGTTATTACTATACACATCAAATCATTAGTTGTGTAAATAACTCACAATTCAGAACAAGACTGTGGACACAGAAGGTTCAGCTGATATGGTTATACAACCCGAATGGGGTACTTTGGACTTTGGTGGAGTCGAGTTTGTGGCCTTAGCCTCTTCAGATAATACTGCAGAGAAGCAACAGTTATTAAAGACACAGGGTGAGAGTAGTCAATAAAGGAGCACCCTTCATGTTATCTTGAATCTTGCTAAAAAGGTCTGGGGTTGGGAGGGAAGCCTGCATAAGTCTGGTTGGGAGAGGGGAAGCCAGCTCCTCATTCTGGGCCTCAGTTTCCTCTCCAGGAAGTTGAAAAGTTTGGATGAGAAGCCAAAGCGCTTTCAGTTCCTGGACTCCAAAAGAAACTGAAAGGCAGGGTTGTGTGGTTCACAGAAAAGGTGACCATCTAGTGGGCATGGTGCTATTTCCAAAATCGAAATGCCGTCCAGTTTCTCAACATTCACACTCACCAACAGAGGGTGAAGGGCCAGATGACCCAACTTCTCACAGTATGGAAGCGTCAAAGCCAAGGCACGCAGGTGCTGGGGTCCCTAGCCTGGAAGCTTTGGATTTGCATTTGTAGCAGGCACTCAAAAGTCTCTGCCAGAAATGGGAACCCCAGAGCTGGTCTGCCACTATCCCCCCTCCTGGCCTTGCTGAATCACCCCTGCCATTCTGCCTGGAAGCAGGAGCTTGGAGGAGGTGAGTGAACTCTTGAAGTCCTGGGCCAGTCCTGTGATTCTGTAATCTATGCTTTACCATAATTAGGGAAGGAGGCAGAAGAGTAGGAGGAGAAACCATTTATTACTTCTCTGAGATTTGACAGCCTGCAAAGAGGGGCAGGGGAGAATCACAGCCAAGGAAGGAGCCAGCCGCAGTGAGTTTAACCTCTCAGAAAAATCAAAAGGGCTGCATGCACCTCACTGGCTGCCCTCTGTCAATTCTCAGGCCCATCTGGCAGAACTTGAGGTTCCCAGCTAATTGGCATTTCTCGTAAAGCCAGCAAAGAAGTGCTTTTAAAAAAATGTGGTGGGTGTGTGTGTGTGTGTGTGTGTGTGCGCGCGCGCGCGCGCGCGCGCACAGGCTAACCCCCACCACACTTTCTAAGGTGCTGGCTGTGTAGATCATCTGTTATATAAAAGTACAGACAGTCCCCACCCCCACCCCAGCTTAGCGACGAAGAATCCAGCCTGTTTGTTCCAGGCCGATGTAATCACACGAACAGTCAAGTCTAGAGGGCAGGACACTGCATGAATAATTCAAGCACTCCAGTCACTTGATTGTGTGTGCAGATAAAACACCAGTCAACCGCTAAACAGGTCAGCTGATAAACTTGTTTGCTCAGGCCTAACCACCATCCGCCAAATACACCCAAGACCCACGCTGCAATTAGTGGCAGGGCTTTCTTCTGCAGAACCCTCACAAACCAAACGGAAGGAGTGGCCGGCGCCATTAGGACAGGGTTGCACTTCTCAGCAAGGTTTCTTCACCCTCCTTGCCTCTTTGTTCCTACACAGCCACAGGGTGATTTCACCCAACTCAAGACAGCCAGAAGCCTGGGGTGGCCCCCGCATCCAGGGCAAATGCAGTTCAAGGCAAATACAAAATGCGAAAGCAGCCCTGCTGGGAAAGGGCAGAGGTTCCGATCTGAGCCCTTAGGCCAGCCTTCTTGACCTCCTGAAGCCTGTTTCCTCACCTCTATAGAAAAAGAGGGCCAAGAATCCCACTATCCACTTCTGGCAACTGAGGGGATTAAAAGAGCCAAAGTGGCCAAACCTCAGCCACCCTCCCTGAGAATCCTGCCTGGGGAATGGCCAGAAATCCCAGCTGTACGCAGCTGGTCTCCCACCAAATGCGGTACATGTTTAACTCTTGTGGGTTCAGGGCATCCCTGGCCCTGAGACCTGCTCTGCTCAGCCAGCCAAGGTGGCTTCTTTCTGCCAGAGGCATCCATTCACCGCATAGGGAACACCACCCATGCAGACCTCAACATGCAGCGACACATTACACCTTAATTACCAAGCTCTTAGGATAACTGCTGCTATAAATTTTAAACCTGGCTACAATTACCCTCCTTAAACACACCCAAGATACTAAGCACTGAGGAAAGAAAAAAAAGGCGGGGTGTGTGGGGGTGACACCTTGCATAATAAGCAAAGGTCCTTGAAACACTGAGGACCCCGGCTTCATTTATTTTATGCCTCCTTCCTGGATCAGTGAGACCCTGTCAGTTCTGCCTGGTGTGAGCAGAACCTGTCTCTGCTGTACTCTCTGGAGGAAAATCTTTTTTACATACAGAGCAGCATCTGTCTATTATTCCTATAGACCAAGAAGTTTAAATGCGGTGGCCTTCATGTGCCGTCCTAGGGAACTAATCCCGTAGGAAGCCGCAGGCTGGATTCCCACACTGTTCAGTAAACTCGGGGCCCTTCCTGGCTGCCCTTCACCCCAACACTAGAGTTCCCTCCAGAGGGGAAAAGAACCACATTCAAAAGGCTTTTATATGCAGCCACTCAAGTGGGCAGGAATCAGCACGTTTTCCGGGGTCACCTGCCCTTCTCACCTGCCCTGGGTCCTGCCCCCTTTAAAGAGCAAAATTTAAACCTTGTAAACGACTGCTAATTTAGAGCAAAAAATCCATTCCAGTCACGGTCACCAAAGGCTACAATGAGTCAACAGCCATCTGAGATTTCAAGAACACCAACTGTTAAAAAGAACAACCAGGCCTGCGCCATTTATATGTGCCAAGTCAACGCTAATGGAGGGCCAAGCCAAATTACAGGCAGCCTTTCCTCGGTACACAACTACACAAACATGCCTCTCCCACAGCCCAGCCTAGCACTGGGGCTAGTTACTGATATGCAGTGAGATAAGGAGTGTTTGTATTTGCTCGGTTTGAGGTATACTGTTATTAGAAAAGTGACAATACGAGGTAGTTTACATATCCATCAAATCACACCACACCAGCTAGCTAAACTGGTTTGACTTCAGGATTTCAAAGCTGAGCTCAACCCCCAGCCATCTCAAAGGCCAGGCCTGGCTGCCTCTGGCAAGTTGACTTCATCCCTCAGCTCCAGCTTCCTTCTCCGTGAAATGGGAACTTCACTGACTTCCAATTAAGGCACAGATGAGAAACTGCCTTCTAAATGGAAGGCATTCAACTTGCGTTTCATTCCTAAACCATCAGTGACTTGTTTCCCTCGTTTCAATAGCTAAGCCTGGCTTTTAAGGCTCTTGAAATTTAATCTTATCGAGGCAGAACATTACATTTTTGAAAGGAAAAAAAAAAAAGAACTCAAAGAAAAAGGGTGGGGGAAGCCCTCCTACATTTCCTCTTGAGAATCTTGCACTAACACATATAAAAGCAGCCTGCTACCTCTATCTAGGTCCTCAGTTTGTAAAACAGCTCCTGGAGGTACAACTTTTCCTTTGGTACTTTATCTTCTACCAAGATCCAAGACCAGCACTAATTTCACAAGCTAGAACGCGAAAAGCTCAACGTGCCCAAGAACTCAGCGAAGCCTCCACACCTTGCAAGTCAAAGTCTAAATCCATTCACCGTTCAAGGAGAAAGGGGACTCATTTTCAAATCAGAAGGGACAGAGAAGTGCCATGTTTTAAGTTTTTTTAAAACACTGCAATAGCTTTCTTAAGAAGAAAAGCTCTTACCTGCTTGTGCATTTCAATGTTCAAGCCATAGGACATCTCATAGTACTAAAAATAAAAGAATTCCCATTAACAGACAACTCAGAAATCTTCATTTTTCAACGTCAACATCACAGGCACAGCCGTGAGAAGCGCCAGCGGGTCCCTCCCACCAGCAGTCCCTGCCATTTTCCTGTTTATACAAGGTGCAGATTCAACAGGGAATGCTGTGTACACTGGGCCCCTTTCGTCCTCTGAGAGTTATTTAGCATGGTGTGGAAGGCCTCTTATGTGGAAAGAGGCCCGCTTAAAGTGCCTTCCATGCCCTCTGGGAAACAGAAAACGTAAACTAGAGGGAACAGATGCCGGCTGAAGTGTAGATGGCCTACCTAGGGTCCAAGGGCAGAAAAGACTCAGCCAGGGATCTTAGGGGAGGGAGGCAGGTTTCCAAAAGTTCCCCCGCTCCTCAGATAACCCCGGGGAAGGAGGGCTCTTCTGTCCCGCTCTGGCCAGATCCCAGGGTTGCGAGGCAAAGTTTCCAAAGGCTCCCGGGAGGTCTCCGGGAGCGATCGTTATCCAACCCTGCCACGGGCTCATCCAGTCCTATCTTTCTAGCCTAGATAGGGCAAGCAGCCCTCAGGGAGGCCTTCAGAACATATTAAAAGCCCTCAGGGCCACTACAGAGGACCCCGGCTGGAAATCTGGGTTTCTTTCTGCTCCTCTCCGCAAACCCCTTCCTCCAGTGGCCTGGGCCAGGAAAAGCTGGTGAGGCGAAGGGCACACTAGCATGACAATGCTCCCCGGCCCGCTGTCGCTGGCCCGCGGGGTCCCCAGCGCCCCCCTCAGCGGATCCCTGTGAGCCCGGTGCGCCCCGCCTGCGCTCCCCTCCGGCGCCGCTCACCATCACGTAATGGCGCTGCATCTCCGTCTTCTCGTTTGCCAGCTTGTCGTACTCCACTTTGAGGCTGCGAGGGCAGGAGGAGCTGCTCAGGCCAGCGCCTGCACAGCCTTCTCCGGGGCCCCGAATGAAGGGTCTCAGAAAACCACTTCCCGAACACCCCGGGGCACCCCATAATCCTCGGGGCACAGAAGGTTTGGGTCCCCGCCTTGGGGAAGGGGGTGCTGGGACAACTCGAAACTTCCCACAGCCCGGCAGGCCGGTTGGTTCTGGCCGCGGGGGGGGGTGGGGAGGGGGTAGCCCCGT